GAAATAAAATGATACTTCGTGTCATTCAATGTACTTTAGCATTATCGAAATACGAAACAGTGATTGCTTATTGTGATCGCAAACACGATTCTCAGCTTTTCAAGCACTTCCTGTATCAAAATTCACATAACGAAAGCTAAATATGTATATTTTTATGAGTATCCTGGTATGTTGAAGAAGAAAGATGACGAATCCTGCATAATCTGTTGAGAAATTTTGACTGTTATGAACAAATGTTAACTTAAAATACTAGGTTTTCCTCTCATTTAGTGTTTACTAATGTTAAGTTCACGGATTTTCCTCATAGCGTTGATGAGTATCCATCCAAACAATTTATTAAATTTAAAATTTAAGATTTAAATAAAATAAACTGTAAATTGACACCCGTATTAAACAACCAAGATTTCTATGAAGAAAACCCAAAAGTCATGTAAAAAAAATACTTCAACAACACATTTCTGAGATAAATTGCCCCATTTTGTAGTAAAGACAAATAATAAGCTATAAAAAATACATAGTTCGGTTCAGAAAATAGTAGCCTATTATCGTGCACAAAAATAAAAGTTTAGTAATTCAAGGAATGTTAAAACACCAGAGAAATGATCTGAAAATCGTGAGATACGAAAAGCGTTGATAACCGCTTTTCTAAATGTATTAAACTTTTCGGCAATCTTCAAAATGAAAACCACATAATAGTTTGATAATGTAATCGATTATCTATCAAACTAAATGCAAGTAAAACCTTCTCAGGTACTTTATAAGTTCAGTAAACTAAACAAAAATAATGTGCCCAAGCTATATATACATATATATATTGCTATGGATACAATTTGTTTCCTAAATAAAATTATTAAAATGCGAAGTTGGCTTTTGTTAAGTCGAATTTGTATCTGCTCAGTAAATAAATTGATTGGCAAGTAAAAATAATTAACGTTTAGTTAATTTATAGTTTCTCAGTAATAAAAATATTTGCTAAGATAATAAATTGAAACAATAGTTATAAAACAAAATTGCTAAGTAAAATTATTATTATTAATTAAAATCTAATAAAGACTTATTGTGATTATCTAAGATAGGATGAGTTGTCTTATGGTGATATGTTGCATTCATTTTCTCCCTTTCTTGCTGTCAGTATTGAACTATTAGTGTAATATATGTTTATAATTATTAGCGTTCAACCTCAGATCCACCAAGACCAATTTCATATTGGCCTAATTCAATCTGAGATCTTACTGAAGCCAATATTGGACGCTAGCATATATATCAGGGAGCTTAACTGTAAATAAATTTAAGGTCTGCGTCTTTGTGTAAAGGTAAGAGTGTTTGTAAAAAGAAAGCTTTCACTAACATCAAGAACACATACCGATACGCACTCGCTGAGATCGATAAAACTCTCCGTTAAAATTACAATTGCTGATAAGCAATTTTAATTGATTCTCGCGAATCACGGTAGGAGTAATTATAGACTTAAGCTGTTGATGTTCGTGAATGCCAGAGATGGGCAAGTCAAGTCAAAAAATGACTTGAAACGGGTCCAGTCAGTGATGAGTCATGACTTGACTTGAAAATTTTCAGAATGACTTGACTTGACTTGCAACAAGTCGTACAGAGAAATTCAAGTCAAGTCAAAAATTATATGTATAGAGAACTTTTATTAATTGAATTTTTGAACTCTAATTTGAAATGTAGAAGAAAAATACAAATAATAAATCAAAGATGGGTAAGTCAAGTCAAAAAATGACTTCACCTGATGATTTTTTGAATGAATTATGACTCAAATTGACTTGACTTGAAAACGTCTGACTTGACTTGAAATCAGACTTGACTTGACTTGAAAAAGTGCTCGACTTGGCTTGACTTGACTTGACTTGACTTGACTTGAAATTTTCAGAAACTGACTTGACTTGACTTCAGTCGAAAAAACGCTGACTTGCCCATCTCTGGTGAATGCTAATCTTCTTTTCAAAAAGAAGCCTATTCTCATATCTCATTAGACTAGAAAGTTGGACATTACTATTACTCCAGCTGTTTCAAATAATATATTTGCAAACATACCATAGGTCTGGGTACAAAATTAAGGTTTTAAAAACCATCTTCATCAACAAAGGACAAACCGAGGCGTGTACCAAGTACTTCTCGATTTACTGTCCCTTTTTTCTTCTCGACTTTGCTCTTATTATACGCAATATGATACAATTTTGATTAATATATACGATTCTAGAGCAAGGCATTTTCTACAAGATAAAAGGCAGTGAGGTTGGTAAGACATATGGTTCAAGTTTTATTAGAATTTTACAAAAATTCCTACAACAGAGAGTGTCGATCATTTTGGAGGTCCTCGTAAAATTTGAATAGAAACTGATTCATATGACGTATCAACCTTACTCATATCTCATTTTGTAGAGAAATGATTGCTCTACAACACTGAACACTTCACATACTTTGGGAGCTTTTCGTTTTCGCAATTAAGCATTTTTCTAATACAAAAAATTGCAAAACCTTCTTTTTAGACTCGGTATATTCCTAGAAATACTACTGATTGTAAAAAAATAAAAGACGACGGCAAGGAAAAATAATAAAAATTTTATCAATACAGTAACTGTACAATTAAACTTTTTTACTTAGGGTTTTGTGACTTTACTTAGCAAAAATCGACTTTTTTTCTCCTAGTTTTTATTTAAAAATACTTCGCATTTAAATAGTAGTCTATATAAAACCAGTATATGTTTTGCTTATTTTACAACATTATCGATCAATGTAAAAAAAGTATTGAAATCTAAAAGGAGAAATAGAAACATCGATCATAAATCCGACTCGATTAACCTAAAAGAAAAAACGTCCTTGTTTCATCTTCGAATAAAACTTATCTGCAAGAGAAAGGCGAGCACCTTTTTAGTTATGGCGAAAAATTAACAAAGCGCATTTTTATCCTATAATGTGCCCTTCAAATACTTTGGGGTTTTTCCTGCAAAATACCAAACAAATTTATTTTCATGATTCATAGGTACTTAGGCTACTTGCTTTGGTTTATGTCACTTGAGGTTAGACAGTGTCAAACTTGTCTAATAGACACTGATCAGATGATTAATCGCACCAATAGTAAGAGATGCACGTGGGATGGTGCCACATGTGGGAATTTGCTTTAAGATTGTTTTTCTCATTAATCGAAAAAATAAAAAGAGATTGATATTTTAGCGAAATATGCTTTTGGGCAAAGGTCGTATTTTCGAGGTCACCATTGCTGAGGTAGAGACCTGTTTTCTCTATCGAATAAGATAAGACACTTGAAATATTGGCATGTAAGATAAACATATAATGAAGAGAAAACCAAAGTGAACGAATAATTATTTTGCGAAAAATATTCGATGAAGACTTTTTAAATGCGCGGTTTGTTTTCAAGATTAAAGTAGAGACTTTGATCTATCGAATAATATAAAAAAAGGTGAGACATTATTGTAAACGAATATTGAATGCTACAACATGTTTGACTTCATAAAATGCCAGTATTGCTTGTATGTACGTTATGTATTCATTTGAAGATATTTTTTAAGTTTAATATCTTTTAGATAGAGTATTGGTAATTATCACACAGCATGCAACTACACTGCGTATAGATAGATCGGCAAGAGTTATCGGTTGACTGGTTATTACCAACGTAGAATTTCAATAAATATCACTTTCAACAAAAATAATTTATTGGCTACTATAGTTTCTTTTCTTCTACGTATTCTAATTCTTATAGCTTTTGAATAAGATAATCCAATGAGCCATTGATTGTATCACCTACAGAAATTTTACAATCGTTTTACAGTGAAATTCTTTCAAAACATGATTGAGTATATTTAATAAAAATTTACTTCCATTAGCAAATATGCAATGATGAAAAGTTCTTTTTATGAACGAGAAATATTTCTATGAATACGGTGTGCGCAGTTTTGTGAATGAGTTGCAATTGCAACATACGTACATAATTAAAAACACTTATATTTTAATGTCGACGAATACTAACTGAGAGTAAAGAACTTGACACATTTTATCAAGAGAATTTTGCATGTGTAGGTATTGATTTAATCCAGGCCAACTCTATAGTTTTCTCTTTTTTTTAATAGTTTCTTTTCATTTGATACTCTGCTTCTCAATCTTTATAATTGAATTGAGTAGCAAAAGTGCTCTTCAGTTTATCCTACTTTTTTTCTTTCTCGATTAGATTTTTTTTCAGAGGCTGTCTGGACTAGTAAATTAGATAATAAGATAAAATAGGGTTTACTTTATAGAATAAAAGACTAATTAATTAAGCAATTCGTGCATATCCCATCGATCAGCTCCTTTTTGACAGCAAAATTGATAGTTCATTAGTCGACTTTTTTAGACTTAGCCTAGTTCACTAGAAACTCTAAGTTCGCAATTCGCGTTTTTCGTCATGTCAAAATGAGTATGTTTATAAACGTATATTTTTGAAAATCTAGTGAATCGTCTCATTTAAATTGGATTGATCAAATATTATTTATAATCTTTTATTGGTAAGCATCTATCTTCGAATATGTTTTCATATGAAATTTGAGATACATTTTATGTTTTACAGTAAAAATTAATAAGCATTTATCGCTCTTTATTATTTCTTAACTTATACACCCTCAAGATTTTCAGCATAAGAATAAGGCAAGGCACCTTGATTTTATCTTCATGGTAACATCTACCATGATCTCATACCTCATCCGTAGTAACCACCGTCATAGAGTTATTTTTTTAATAAATCCATTTAATGAATTATCTCTTAAAATTAAGAATACAAAGAAAATCATTAAAAAAACATGACATAATTCATGTATAGATGGCGCTATTTATTATGTCATCTGTCAAATAAAACAACAACACGACTATGAAAAATAAACAAATAATGAACTATAAATAACTCTAACGATTTTCATGTTTTCCATTATACAATATTTGCTATCGCATTATTGACCATATTTTGTATTAATTTTTTTATTAGTTAAAAAATGAAATTATTAGAAAATTCGAAGCTCGATGCTGTCAGTTCCACTTTGTCTTTTGAAACACCTGCTTGTGATATCATAACTCGGTAAGTAGATAGATGTATGTTTGTTTATTTGTTTCATCAACTTCTTTTTCATTAAACTAGTGTGGAAAGTTATTCATGTAAAATGGCCGGTGATCCAAAAAAACTGTACAAACAATTACGAAATGAACCTGGTACATCACCGCATGATCTCGAAATTCTTGGCCCCTCACAAATCCAATTGCCCATGTATAATTATGGCTTATTGAATTCTCCAACACAAATGATGCATACAAATCCAATGGCTCGATCTATGTCCAGTGACGACGAATCACCGTTAAATAAAACGATTCCACGAAAAACACTTATTTTTCTAATATCAACATTGAATGCATCATTTCAACCAGATTATGAATTTAGCTGTTGTACAAGTCAAGACTTTAGTCGTGAGACTAATTTAGAGGTGTGTTTATATATACGAAGAATAATTTTATTTCGGTCTATTTGACTATAGTTAGTAAAAAATGCTGTCGATTCACGATTCATATCAGTGATGGGCGATTATTATCGATCGGTGTCACCACAATTATGGTCTGTAATTGATGAAGAAATAAATATAAAAGAAAGTGAAATATTCAGGTAAAAACAAATTCTTTACAGGAAAAAAATAAACATCCGTTATTTTTCGTTTAAATAGTTATCATCCCGATGGTACATCAGATCCATTTTCTGAAAGTGGAATCATCTGGTCATTCAATTTCTTTTTTCATAATAAGAAACTTCGTCGTATTCTTTTTCTTACATGTCGAGCCGACTGTAAAACAACATCCAATGATGAAGATAATGAAGAAGATGAACCGTTAGAAATTAATAATTATCTGACATTTGAAGGGTAAGATATCATAGAAAATTGATCAATGTGATCCTTTATATGAATTCGATAAACTTTAAATCAGTGGAAACTCATTAAAAGTTATCTATCATCAAAAGATATATCCTTTAGGTAGCCGAGATCTTAGATAGAGTACAGCATTAATAAGCCATCAATTAGATTCTTACCGGGGTAAGATTATTTCGTACCCTTCAAATTTTTTCACCTTTCCTGTCCTGTTTCCTATTCACTTCGCAATGAACCACTCCCATATTTTGAGGTTTTAGAAGACGTGAGTATGAAATTTTCTTTACTATATTTCAGTATATTCTTTTGATTATGAATAATAATTTAACGTAACGCTACGATATATTTCAAAAGTTTTGTAAGAAAAATACTATTATTTGGAAGTTTATTTCTCAAACATTATGTCTTATTGCGTAAAGCTTCTACTTGCATCGTACACATATCTACGTATCGTTGAACTTCGTACAGCTATTTTGTTAATACATACTAAGTTATAAATTTTCAATGAGCATTTGTATTACTTTCTCAAAACAGATTATTCTTTAGCAAAGTTGATTTCAATTTCAACATAATGACTGAATCCTTTTAAATCAAAACAATGATGCCGATATCTTTGAAATTACTTGCAAAAACCGTTTAGAACTGTGCAAAGCACTTCAGTTCTGTCCTGTGATTTTTTTAAAAAACAATCTTGCACGATTCTGCTATTAAATTTCCTTTAATCTTAAATTAATCCTATCTGTTTGTTTTACTGATCAATAAAACTAATTCATTCAATGGAAAATTTTTAATTGTCTAGCTTGAATTTTCTAAGATATTTGAATTTTGAATGCTCTGCTTTTCTGTTCTAGTGTTATGGATTAATACAAATGGATGTGATCCATACATATAAACATATATATATATATATAAACTTTATTCGTTAATATATCCCCATGTTAATTTTCGTTCCGGTTCTGTACACAAAAACATCACTCGATCATCATGTGTTGCCATTGTAGATATATTATGTTCTAGTGATCAGTTTTCTTTTCGTTATCAACTCTTTATAGAAATTATTTTTCCGATTCATTTCATATTTCTCCACTTGTTCGTTCTTTGTTGTACATTGAATTCGTTATTTTGCATGTATCAAAATCAGAATATGTATGTTAATTCCTGTTTTTTCCTGTAATGTAAACATGTATGTCCCACATCACAAACAAAACAAAATTTGAACAAATACTATCTTTTATTCCAAACAGAGATTATTATATGTAGATAGAATGTGAATAAACATAATTTAAACAAAACTGACATATTTATAGTTAACAAATTTGTTCATTGATTGCTGAAGATATTTCCAATCGAAATAACTAAATTGCTTACTAATACCTGCTGATCTATCAAAGAGAAATGACTGAATAGCTCGAAAGACTAGTAATTTATGGCTTTGAGCTATTGAAACAAGAGAATTTTGTATGAGGCGAAATAATATCAAATCCCATCCTCTTAGAAAAAAATTAAGCGGTACTCAACTTGAATGAAATTTTTTACTGTGAGTCACAAAATTTGTGTAAAAAGCCAACAAAAATCTATCGAATTCGGTCGAATATGTACGTGATTTTATTTATTCAATTTTGCCTCGTGAGAAAGCAATCAACTAAATCTTATCTTGAAAAGTGAATTGACCTGGAATACGTGTTAAAATTCAAATAACATTGAAAAGAAATACCATTTTTTTACCAGCTATGAAAAGATTAGATGAAATCGAATTTTATTTGACGATGAAGATCAGTTCGTCTTTTGAGAGCGTATTCTATGCCGCTGAAAATGACCTATCTTACTGAAAATAATCATGCTTCACTAAAATGTCAGTCCAAGATTTCTCACCTGGACACCCTCGAATTTCTATGTGCAGACATTTTAGAAAAGCTTTCATATATTCTTCATAGATAAATATATTGTGATTATCTTTAATTAGATTGCCAATACTATTATAAACTGTTTAAAAAATACATGGAAGTACTAGTTAAGATCAGTATTATCGTCGAGCATCGAAAGTCTGCAGATTTTTTCCATGTTTTATTGCTTCATACGATGATTGTTTCAGTTTCTTGTAATAAATCAACCTGTAAGTTTTAAGAAATTTGACAATTCGCTCAATGTATTATCATAATGTTTTAATGATGCTGTTTTGAAGAAGGCAACCACACTCGCTATCTTGAATCTTATTGTCATAGATAGGAACTGTTTGTTGAGAAACTTGACCTTTTGTAAAATAGCACTAGTGACAGGAAGTTTTTCCCGATGAATGATTTTGTTTTTGAACCCATAGTGACTGTTTCTAATAGACAAACTTTAATTACTTATTGCTATATAAACAGATATTTGACTTTTATTTATAATATCCACAGATCAAAAAAAAAATAATAATCTGACAAATTTGACCAAAGAAATATATCCACAAATGAATTCAAAACCACAATTAATCCCATATAATTAGCATTAATAAAGAGAAAAAAATAGAAAAATTTAATAAACATTTATCGACGAGTTGGAATCTAAAACAGAACACAATTACAATCATACTATTTTCATTTTCAATATTATAATAGCATACTAATCGTTTAGACGGACGACGCTTATGAATAGGATCATTGTTTTTGTTGCGACCCATGTCCACCACAGTATGACTACTAGGATTCTTGCCAGTTTTAGGCGTTGATGTTACAATCTTATATGAATAGAAAATAAATAAATACAAGAAAGTTCTTTCAATCTTATTACTCGTGGTAATCCATTAAAATGTTTAATATTTTCTAGTTGAGTAAATTCAAGTGTATCTTCATCGACTTCATCATGACGACTTTTGCTAACATGTTGTTCAACTGTTTGTTTGACAATATTTCGTAGGGATTTTTTTCGAATATTATTTTTTGCTGCTGGACGTTGAGGAATAGCGGCCAGGGCAGTTGACGACATAGATACCTGAAATCATTGCTTTTTGAAAATTTGTTTCCCTGGAAATATTCTAAATTTACCGTCTTTGAAATTGTACTTGGAGGATTACTAACAGTTGTTGTCACATTTGATGTACCCGTATGTTGTTGTTCAATAATTGGACGAATTGGAATATCATTAATTAAAAATTGTTCATTTTCATGTTCTTTTTCCCATTGTTCAAGTATATTTAAACAAGCTCGTTCAGCTTTTGGTAAAGCAACTGCAAATCTTTTCCGTTCAGCTTGTTCTTTCACTGCCGAATAACCGCGTTCATGAAAGCGTGCTGCTGAAGTCGATTTTTTCTACAGACAAAAACCAATCAAGTGGTTGAAAAATATAAAACGAAGAAGATTTCAAATCAATGAATACCTGAAATTCACCATGTTGTTGTACAAGTACTTTCCATTGTTCAAAAGCATCAAGTATTGGCTTTCGAACATGATACATACTATCCAAACGATCATATTCGCGATCACATTCATCAAGAGTTTCAGGTATTATGTTGTCTATTGATAATGCGATATCGAAGATATTTAATTTATGACATAGAAAAAGATCATTCATATTTTCATCATACCGAAATCTATTGGATGACGTTCAGAACTGCCGATCTGACATTGTTCATAGAGATCTTCAATCTTTTTTCGCATACTTTGACAATATGCTTGACTAGTCGCCATTCGTTTAGCTTGTAATTGGGCAATTTCATTCTCTAACTAAAATAAATGGAACGAAAAATAAAATACAATTTTTGCTTGACCAAGTGTAATGAGATAAAAGTAATTCGAAGGGCTAACACACTAAGAGACATACAACTTGAAATAGTTTTCCGACTATTCTCAAAAACAGTTCATGGTACAAAAAAAAATTCATTGATGACCTCGACGGATGTGTGAAACTGTTTTTATCGTGAACTCTAACAGATATCAGAGCTATATGAACTTGAAAGATTTTAATAAATTGATAGCGCAAAAAGAACAAGTTAACGTGTAGATGAACTGTTTACGTAGATTTATTAAAAATTCAGGTTGCTATTTCGATTGAGCTTTTTTTTCATAGCACAGCAACTTATTCACGAAGAAAAACACACCTGTTTCACTGTTTCCGCAGTATTGTGCCGTAGAATATAAGCAGCCGAACGTTTTGGTGGCGTTGCATCGTCTCTTGTAAGTTTTGCATATAATTTTTCTAATTTTCCTACAAGTGCATTCACATAGTTTTCTTGTTCTGCTGATTTACATTCAAGCTAGATGAAAAAAGAAACAATAGAAATGTATTATTCAATACACAGTATCTATCGAAAATATACTTCAATAAGAAAAGATTCAATTTGACCAAGAGCATCTGTGGTTAAGCAAGATTCGTAGTTCTCATCAAGTAACTGAGATATTGTTGATAGATTATCTAGTTTAAAATTTAGCCGATCAATTAAATCATTAAGTCGAATTCGATAAGATTTGATTGTTGTAAGGCGTTCAGTCTAAATTAATGCAAGAATAGTTCATAATACGTTTTTATTTTGAATATACAAACTTTTAACTTGTCTAATTCATCTAAATATCCTCTTAAACGTTCGATTCTTTTAATTAAAGTTTCATCTAAATAAACATGTACAACAATTTGGAAAAAAAAGAATTCGCTTCAAAAGTTTTGCTAACCTGTAACAATGTCCATGATTGTTGCTGCAAGGATTTGACATAAAGAACGTTCATTTTGAGATAATTGATCCAATTCTTTAATATATTTTTCTTCTTTCAAATCTAATTCTTGATGTTTCTTTTCAATGAATAGTTCTTTTTGTTTTAATTTCATATTTTCAAATTCTTCCTGTAAACAAATCGAATCTATTCAATGTTTAATCTAACCGTTAATGATAGTGACAAACGCAAGATGTTTAAGAGAAAACGTCGATTCAAACTCAAATATCTTGTAGCCTACTAGAATTCATGGCATAATTGCTATGTTAAAGCCGATGATTGTTTACATTTTTATAGATCTTTTAACAGTGATATGAGTATGAAAGTTCTTGAAACTGCTTCTATGCAATTTAATTCTTATCAGATTAGATTTTGTTTTCTCGAATAGTGTGTTCATGTTTTTTGAGTTTTGACTTTACCATTCTATGCTCTCGTTCTCTCTGACTCTTCTCGTAACTGTATTATAATGTACTTGTTATTTTCTATTTCTTCGTTAAGCAGAAATAAGGTTTTATATAATTCGAAAAAAATGCAATAACACAGAAAAAAGTCAGTATCTACTTACGCAAATATCACTTTCAAATCCAGTTCGGCTTAATCGATTTTCATATTCACGTAATGTTTCAAGTAATAGTTGTTCACGTTTTGCTATATCAGTTGATTTTTTTACTTGTATACGATCTAGTACAAACTTCAAAGAAAAAAGAAAGCGATAAAAATGAATCGGTTTTTTAATTAGATTTTAACCACGAACTCGTGAAAATTGTTCAACTTTAGTATTTCGTTTAAGTAATTGTTCATTATTAAAACCAAGTTGTTTTATCCATTGATTTGCCCATCGATCAATCATTAATGAATCAATCGGTAGAATTTCTGTCGTCATTCTATCTACAAAAAGGAAGGGTTCAAGATTAATTAACGATACAAAAAAATCACAATTATATTGATTAATTCTTTTTTTTAAAATTTCAATCTGTTTTAGAACGTAAAAGAATGCGATAAAATAATCGAGGAACAAATCGTTGAAGATAAATAACAACTGATCCAAGATATCCAACATAGATTTCATGTTCTCTATTGGCAACACCTCGAAGTATATCATATGCACATTTTGATGGATCAGTTCCTTGATCAGTTTTTGGATCCATTTTTCCATGTAATAAACCCGAGCCTTCAAAAGCATTTTGAGATATTTCTGTTCGAACATAACCTGGGCACACAATTGTAACATCAATATTATCACAAGCATGTTCCAATCGAAGAGAATTGAAAAAGCCATGTAAGGCATGTTTAGAAGCTGCGTATGATGAACGTAATGCTGTACCAATATAACCTGCTGCTGATGTTACAACAACAAAATGTCCCTTTTGGAGTTCGATGAAATGCTAAAACAAAATATACATTCAATATATATATATATATACTTGTAGTTTTGCTGAGAACACTGAGAGTGACTAACCTATAAGTAAGAATTGTTATCTATTAACTAGACTGATAGTCACGTTTGCTGCAACGTTAACAAACGAATGCTATTAAAATATTATGCTCCTTTTGCAATCGTGTGTATACTAATTCGAATAAGTCGATGGATAAAAAGAAAACTGAAATTGCACACTTTCACGCATATATATATATATATATATATATATTTACCTGTAGAACAGTTTTACTTAAAGTAATTGTACCCAAAAAATTAATATTCATCAGTCGTGAATCAACATTGTATACCGTATCTCGAATAAGACTTCTTTGTGATATGCCTGCATTATTAATCAAGACATCAATGTGACCAAACCGTTCAATAACAAGATCAAATTTTGACTTAAAACAATCTTGTTGTAATTCAAGATCAAGTGGCAAAACCAAACAATGATCAGAATCCAGTTGAAGTTCATTGGCAAGTTTATGCAATTCTTCTTCTCGTCTTGCTGATAGAATAAGACATGTAGATGGTGAAATACGAGCCAATTGTTTGGCTAGTTCACGACCAATACCTGATGAGGCACCTAAAATACGAGGAAACGATCAGCTAGGATTATTATCAATGCAAACTTAAAAAAAACAGAAATTTATCAAAATAAGATTTTAATCCTTCGATCTGATAAAACTTTTAATTGTATTATTTCACTATTGACTTTAAAATCTTCTTGTCTCTATTTACAAAAAAAAGATCCTAGCTACTAACTTTTGTTTTGAGATTAATAGGTTTTATTTAAATCATTCAAACTATTGCCAAATCGTAGAGCACACAAATATTTAAAACGCCCCTATCAATCTAAAATTGTTCTTTCAAAGAGACGTATGTAAAGATTATTTAATCTGTTTCAAATATTTTTACACATGTTTCTTGAAATATACGAGTAATCATGAAAGCAGTCTACGACATAAGTCAAGTTTGAACGTTTCTAAATATATTTACCATACGGAAGCTATCATTTTTTGTGGATTTGAATTTAAATTCGAGAAGACCAAACCTCAGAGCTTATGCTAGATTCAGTTAACAACACGTAGCTGTCTTAATCTACATAGTATACCTGTAAGTCTTAGGCTTCTATATCAATCATTCTCCTACACATCTAGATATAGTATTATCAAGAACGAAATTCCCTCTTTTGGTTCACTATTACTCCTCTTGGTTGACTGACGATATTCGTACTCAAGACCGAACCGAAACGTACGAGTTCGATGTAAGCCTTATTTAGAATGAACATAATTTCTTTTTTTGTGTAAATGACGGTAACAAAAAATATTCTTAATTAAAAATACAGAGAAAATAAAACTCTTTCGAAATAGATCTCTTTCATTAGAGTTTACATTTACAAATACTATAACAATGTTAAACTAAAAAAAGCCTAAAACAACAAAAATTTATTATTACTTACCAGTAATCCAAACAACCTTATTTTGAAAATATTTTTCAATATTATCACGCAAAGAAAATAACCAATATGCAGCTAATGCAATAATACCGAAATAAAGAAGAAATTGAAAAACAATTGCCAAATACATTATTCTACAAACAATAACATAAATGGCACATCATTAGATTTTTGTTTTACTTCGAAAAAATTTTCTTGTTATACAAAAAAAAAATACTAATCATTTACATTACATAAAGACAAAACAAATGTATTTATGAATTAAGTTTATTTATAAATAATTCGATTTGATTAAGATCAGTTGTTAATTGATCCAACGAATTTTTCAGCACATTATATTGTTGATTATTTTCTTTTAATTTTTTACTATTGCGTAATTGAACAAATTGATTTGTACGCTTATTATTATGATTATGATTATTATTATTATTATTTAACAACAATTGTTGTTTACGAAGTTTTCTTGTTTGTCGATAATTTAAAATCCAAAGTGAAAAATATTTTAATTCCAAATAATGTTCACGCTTTTGTATCGATTGTGTATGAAGAGCATTTTCTAACAACTGTTTACGTAATCCAAATTCTTTATTTGATTCAATAACAATGGAATGGAATTCTTCTTGTAAAAATTCTTCAAAAAACGATTTTGATAGAACATCAAGTCTTTTTAAATGACTTCGCTTTAAATATCGTCGATATTTCAATATATCACTTGTTTGTTCAATTGACAAATCATGCTCAGCCATTATTTGTATGCCAGTTAAAAATTCAAGTAATTGTTCATTATTTAAAAAATGATATTTTCTTTGTAATTCATCTAGTATTAAACGTTCTTCATTTGCTTTGATTGAATTTTCCAACCATATGGAAAAATATTTTTTTGTTAAATATTTTTTTTGTTTTCGTTCATATTGTTCATTTAAAGTATCATTTAACATTTTTTGCTGAAATTCAACATGCTTGTAATATTCATCGACTACAGACAATATTTCATCAGATAGAAGTTCATTAAAGATTGTGATTGTTTGACTTCCTCGACAATTCCATTCAGATATTAGTTCACTACAAAAGAAAGAATACAATCCAAATTAATAAAATATGTATTAATAAAAAACTATTCTATGTAATCAAATGTAGTATGTTGTCAACCTATTGAAATCGAACTGATCTAATTTTAACTCAGATAATAAATAGATTACTGAATCAAATTTTTTTCTCAATTTATTTTAAAAATATTTGATGTATTCTTATTGTCTTGCAACAAGATGAACGATTTAACACAAATTTCGAATAATAATAAAAATCTTTGAGCTCAACACCCAAGATTAAAGTTAAGTCCATCATGTGGATTGATTTATATTGTGTTTTGACTATCATGCAAGTGATTTGGGTCGTTAGCTTATCATTATGGAAATTTCACAAAACTAAGTTCATTTTAAAATAACATCACAATCTCTTTCTCTCTCAAACGCGTTGGTTTTTGAATTCCTCTTGAAATCTTAGAAAGAAACAGGTTTCAGCGAGATTAGTTAGTTCATTTTGAAATAAGGATCTTGATTCTGTTGCTTTATGTAATCGATGTATTCGATATGCTTTTACAATAACTGTACTACAAGATCGAAACAAGAATCGAATGGAAAATTTAATGAACTGAGAAATAAAATTCGTTAAATACTATTTTTAATATAGGAAATCTCTTTTTTATACAAAACTAAGGATATAATCTAGCAGTTTATTTCTCTTTGATATTTCGTAACTATATGCTAGTTATTAGCTTAATATCTACGTCAAAACAAATGCGAATACGTTTCATTGCTTTCTAATAGTGAGAAATCAAAGTTTTTTTTTGTTTGCCTTACGTAACAATATCACAAGTAGTTTCTCGAATTAAAGGATCAATCATTTGTTTATATATTTCTTCAATCATTGCATCCATAGAATTCATTGATAATCGACGAGTACGAGGAGACGGTTCTGGTGGTTGTGTCATTGGTTTAGGAATTTGAGGTGTTGGTTTTGGAATTGTAACAGGTGGTTGGATTATTTCAACAGGAGGTGGAGGTGGTGATAAAGGATGTCTAACTCTTATCGGTTCATATCCATCTGCAAAGATTGATTTAGGTAAGGTTGAAAATTGAGATATTGTATTGAATAATCCCGTTGGCATCAATGGTTGAACAACAGGATTCGGAGCACTTAAAAAAGGAACTTCTCGATAGATTAAAACCAACCAAAGAATTTCATTATGTTACATTCTTGATGGAACTGGAACTGGTGCTACATCCTTATGAAAGCCGTCAAAACGAAATGGTGATGATGGCGTTGTTAGTGTAGTTGAAGTCGTAACAAGAATACTTGGTACTGGTAGTTTTGCAGTCTTAAGTATCTAGAATATAAGTGATTTACTTTATCAACATATTATTGTATAATACAAATGTATTTGCTGTTGTTGTTGCTGCATGTGATCGAAGAGCACTGTCAGAAGGTGGACGTTTAGTAAGCGGTGGCTGTTGAAGTTTTGGTGGTGGTTGTTCTGATGGTGGTTGTGGAGCTGGTCTTCGAGGAAACATTGTTGCTAGAATTATAAATTTCGAAAAATAAATTTTTTTTAAAATCATTCTTTACCTAATTTATCTGAATCAATAGGTAATTTTCCAATATAAAATCCTTGAGCATCGAAACTATTTTCAACATTTGTATCAGCGAGAAGAATTGGAATATTTGGTTGCCCAGTTATAATCTTTATGAGTTAAAGCATTTTTCGATGAAAATATTTTGTTATCGAAACTTACATCTTTTAAATTGCCTGTATATTTTGATTTAGTTAATTTCTGAGATAATTTGTTGATTGGTTGTTGTTGAATATCGTATTCTGTTGATGGTAAAATGAAACATGGAGGATTTGTGTTTGATATTGAATAGCCAAGTTGTTCAAGATAATCTTTTGTTTCATCATCATTGTCCATTCCAAGAATATCTGTTAGATCCGATAAACGAAATTCATCATTACTACGTGCTGATGTTATAAGACAACTAAGGCGTTTTATACGTATGACATTAAAATATCGATGAAGTAAACATGATTGTAATAAAGTAGCATCATTTTCAATCAGAGAAAAGAACTTAGTTATATTATTTATTAATAATGATCGAGAAATATTTATTGCAATATTGATTTGTGATTGATCAGTTATATCTTGTATTAAATGGCGAATGCGCCTAAATAGAAGAAAAAAGTTTTCTAATTTGACAAAAAAAGAAGAAAGACAAACAGAAATGCTTACAATAATGTTTCATTGTCTCCTTTTAAATTTATTAATAACATATACGATGAAAATTCAGCTACATTCCTTAATGATTGCATATTGTTTTGTTTTTTATGTGACAAATAACAGTCACGTAATTGATTAAGACAATCAACTAACATTTTATCATTCAGTTTAGGATCGAATAAATCAAGTGAATGTTCCGATAAGAATGCTGAGCAAAATATATGAAAACGAGCACATTGCTCAAGAATTTCAATAGCTACTTCATCACGTAAATGTTGTTGTGTTAATTCCTAAGATAATCAAGTTAAATTTCATCATAGACAAATTTTCTCACTTAGTTTTATTTACTTTTCGAATGGCTCGTAAACGATCCCATAGAAAATTATACCAATCACCTTGTTCACGTTCTTGATCAAATTTGTCCATTATATTTGTTATTAAATAATTCATTGTACGCAACAAAGCTGGACCTGATCGAAGATCATAGGGTGTTGGCATAGCCTAAAAATAATATTTTTCCAAAACAAATTAAAACAAAAAAAAATTATATTAACAAACCTGATCAGCCGATGCTCGTGAATACCCAGTGATCATAATTGAATGATTGAGCTGAGTAAAAAAAAGATATGACGATTATAATGGATAGATAGATAATAGTTCGCCTTTAAAAAAACTCTACATACAGATCGAGTATCTGGGTCAAGTTCATATGATTTGTATACACGCTGATATTCACGTGTAATTCGTTCTCGTTCACAACACATGTCTTGACATAAGCCAGTACGTTGAGCTGCGTTTGCATCAAGCAATGAACCTTTATTAATTTCAACATCTGTAACACAAAAAGCATGTTTTCAAAATAATACTATAGAATTAGAAAATCTTACATTTTCGCCAAATTTCATCACGAATGTCCAATGATTTGAGTTTTTCGTGATATGGAAGTGCTCGACGTTCTCTAAGTTGAGTTATAAGCGTAGCTAATTGTTCATTCATTTAGGTGGAATTTTTTTCTTGTTGTAATAATTTCACAAAAGTTTCAAAGTCTATTGTAGATGTGGTTATAAAATGATACCAACAAAGAGTCACCTTTTGAATCTGTTTGAATGGTTCTATAAAATAACCAGTCATCATGTACATGAAAAAAATTGTGAATGAATTAATTATATATATATCCATATCCATTAATTGAAATATTGATATTTGTATTCTTTTAGACATAAAATATAACGTTGAAGTAGAAATATTTCTTAATTTTAAGTTATAGAACTCTCTGATAAGATAAAAATGAAACGGTAAGAAGCGTCCTCTATCATTGGTAGTTCAATAGTGTAGTTTATACACTAATGAAGTTTTGTTCAAGCAGGAAGCGTGTTTGCCACCGAGAAAACGATCATTTATCTTCTTTGCTCCTCTTTTCATTTCTGTTTGAAAAATTATAAAGTATGTACAATTCAAGATACAATCTTAAAACCAAACAAGAAAACTTGTAAATGAGATTTATGTTGAGCTAGACAAAACGCAATTTTCATAAATGTTAGAGTGTTGTGACAATCTACCAGTCGGGTCAGCACTGAAAATATGAATCATATCATCGAGTTAAATGAAATTTCATTCAAATTAGATGTGCAATTGAAAATGTTAAACAGTGTTGACCATCAAAAGTTACATGTATACGTATACGTCTGAAAATGTTCAGTAAATTCACAATCAAGTAAATTTTATCTTACATTTTTGAAATTATGACAATATTATTAAATTGATTTGCAAATGCTATTCCATGAAAACTTGTACAATTTATTAGATACTATTGCTAATGACTAGATAGTATCATGAATTAGACGCCGAAAACATGTAGTATAAATCGTTTTAATGAGTTAGTCAACGCGAATGCATTCATTCAAGTATATTTTGATCAAATTATAAATGAATATACTACTAATAGTTGAGAGAGAAAGATTAAACATTAAACTACTAGTTTAATACAAGCCAAAAGAACAAACGAATGAAATAGAAACTGTATCTGTTGTCTGCTCTTATTATGGTAAAAATAAGACATTTTTCTTGATATGAAACCTTTTTCTATTCGAAGAAAAAGGATAGGAAAAAATACAAAAAAGCGAAAAAAATAAGAAACGTTGAAAAGTTATTATTTAAATGAATCTGAACCGCGTGTAATTGATGAACCGGATCCTTGTGGACTGATTGAAAGACGTGGAACTAGTTGTTGTGAAGGTTGTATAGGCAGTGTTGTTATTGTAATACGAGGTACTTTCACATCATTTATACGATACTGATTATTACCTATTTCCATCGGCGGAATAAAGTCATATCTACCATTACTTATTTGTCGATACACACTACCAGGACGGCTATAATATAATGATGATGATGCTGACCATTGGTTATGTAACGATCGTGATGGCGGCGGTGGTGACGGTAATGAATGACGAGAATAACGATTATTCTGACAATGACGTCTTGACTGTGAGTCGGATGTTGATGCCGTTTGTTGTAGAATAGATGAAAGTACTTCATGTTGATCATCACTATCATAATTATGTTTTAAACATAGACAACGAGACCATTTGCATATAACTACGACAAGAATGACAAGCACAACAGAAAGAATACCAATACATAGACCGATGAAATCACGTGTCAATAGCGTTGGACTTATATCCAATATCTCGGACTGATCAAAATCGGACACGGACACTATCAATCATAAATAAATAAACGATAAATGAATCATAGAAACTTACTTGTTCACTTGACCTTGCTCACACAATTGTGATATAGATGCATCAGCGAACTGGTTTTTATCGATAATACATGGAAGAAAAAGAAGATTATATAGCTACATACAGATGTTTGTCCCTTACATTCTTTCTTTCTTTCTCTCTTTCTTTCTCATTCCTTCTGTTGTTTACCATATAAAATAGATAAAAGCGTGGTTCATCATTAACAAATTTATTTTCTTTTTCTTTCGCTAGTCATGCAAACGTGCAAACAAGGTGACAAACAAAAAAGAAAGAAAATTCTTGTTGTAAATCACCGTCTTATTGGTTTGATACCGAGTGTTGCTGCACGACTATAAATATCGTGAACAGCAAATGGCGATGAACCAGCAAGATAATCCTCGTCGAGCACATTTCGTTTCATCAATGATTTTCTAGTTGGTTTATTTTGTGGTCGTGGTTGACCTTCAACACGTATCGGATTGTTTGAATGTTTACCACCACGAGGTAAAGGCAATGATTCCTGGAATAGGGGGAAAAAATAATAACATGCTTTTTCCAGATATAGCTACATACACGAGGTTTTGGTCGAAAACGGCCTGTTAAGTGATAATGTCTTTGTCCGGATACATCGACACTAACACTGGCACGTTGTAAAGATGGATTACCACATTCGGGACAGAATTTTTTAGTCATTTGAAGAGTAACACTATAGAAATATATTATTTAAAAAAAAAGAATTTATTTTTTACATGACTAAAGTTCTTACCCTGGACAAATACGACACTTCAAGACATAACTGCGAGCTGTTCTAATGAGAAGACCATCAACAGAAAGAACTGGAATACCCATTTGAATGAGAACATTCTTGAATGAAAAGAAAATTTGTAAATAATTAGAATGTTCAATAAGAGATAAAAACTAAAACTAATACCTGCATCGAGAAATCAGTAGTAATACAAGCAACAGGGAGAGTTTCACTTATTGTTTCACTATTGTCTGATGCTCCATGATTGAAAGCTTTCGCTTTAACGGCTTGAACATTCGATGGAGTTATCCAACCTCAATAAACAACATAGCAATTATAGTTCGAATAAAACTCTCAATATTAATGTTCTTACCATCATCATCATGACCAAGATGAAGATCATTTATTGATTCTGTAATATCATTTTCATTATCAACTGCAGTAACAAATGATTGAACATCTTCTTCTTCGTGATCATTATAACCACCATCATCATCATCATCATCATCATTTTCTTTTTGTTCTTGTTGTTCGTTCTCATCATTGTTTTCACCGATTTCGTCTTCTTTTGCAGCTTGATTTTCATTTGTTGATGATTTTTCCGATTTCTGATCATCATGTTTTTCCTGTAAACAAAAATAAGTAAATAAAAACCCATACTATAGCTGATTGAGTCGTTTACTTCATTCTTTGGGAAAATAAAGCCAGCTAATTTGACACCAGTATTACCGACTGTAACAGTTGAACTGAGTACACTAGCCTATATTGAAGTAAGAACTTCAAATATTGATTAAATTTTTCTACGGTAATCTTACATTTATTTTTGGCTCTAAATTTAAATTTTCTGTACCAACATTTTCTTGATAAAGTTGATAAGTCAATGCTAATAAACGCAGATCTACTGCTGATAAAAATGTATAATCACCTGTTTTCTTTGCATAATTTGTTACTAGAATGTATAGAAAGAAAAATAATTATGCTTCAAAAAATGTCAATAAAATAAACGAAGAATATTACCGCAACGAATTGCATCAGTACTTGGTTCTTTAAACTTCAATGTATACGGAACTACATTGAGAGATTCGCGTGTTTTCAAATCACGTATTTCTTTGACAACATCTTCAACGGTATAGACAACATCAGTTAAATTCTAAATATAATTTATTAAGTAATAGCGCTCTCCAATTTTCTTCCTTTATAGATGGATATGTGTGTGGCAAAAGTTTCTTTTGTTACAGATATTTTTATTTGCCGGGGAAGGTCTTTTCTATTCAAAAATGAATCTTATAATAACCTAGGATCATCCGATATAGAACTAATTGTTTCATGGAAGTAGTATTTAGAATGGTTTGTCATTTAGCTAAATTTTCGGATGATAGTCTAAACTGAAAATCATTAAATAGCAATAGAAAGTAAAATTTACTATAAAACAAACAATTTTTTTCTGTTTGTCAATCATTTGACTACAATCGAATTCACTAAAATAGCAGAGAAATCATTGAAAACATTTTCGGCTTTCTATTTTGCTCACAAGAAAATTCCAATAAATCTCTAAAGTAATTCGTGTTTGTTATTCACTACCTAGCCGAGTCAAAAAAGACTGAGAAACAGATATTCGTGGTACGTTGAGGAACGGTTAGTATTGAAGCAATAACTCATGTGGAGGAAAGGGAATCGATGATAAATTCTCTTGTTCTTCTCTCGTGCATAAAAATCATTACCCATTTATTCATGTTCACAAGTTTCTTGATATTAGAAAAGAAAGAATAAGAGTAAAATATATTATGAATAATGTCTTCTATTGATTTTAGCATCCAAGAAATTGTAGACAAACTGACAAGGAATTTCTATTCCCAAGTCTATGGACATCGCTCAAATTTTTAGCGTTCTCATCGTAATAAAACTTCAGTAAGAAATTTTTAAAGAAACCATGGAACGTACATGTAATGGTGCTTGTCTAATAAATGCACTTGAATCGACAACTAAGTGATTAACACGTTTATTATTAGTAGGTGTACTCATCTAGAAAAACAAAATATCAAAATATCGAATTTATTTCATATCATTGGGCATGATCAATTCATATGAGGAAAAAACTAATTATATTTCAAATATCACAGTGAAACAAAACTAAGCCTAACAAGAAAAAAGCTAAACTAAAATAAATTTATTACATTTCAAAATTCATAGATTTTTAAATGTGTCATATAATTGACAATTATTTTATTTTGTGTACCTAATAAACATGCATTAAATGCATTATAATCAATAATTTGATTCAAACCATTTGAATCTATCATCCGCATTAATTTCGTTTCCCAATTCATAAACAAATAAATACTGTCACGAAATGTCATAAATAAACCAAGATTGTTTTGATTGAAACAATCAAATGATGTACCCATATAAGTACGTTGAAATCGATCTGTATTAAATAAATCTAAACGCCATGCATGTGTTTTATTATTTTGTATAAGTACAGCTAGATTTTGTTCATTTGCACGTATACAAGAGATAGTTTCTTCTAAGCAATTTTTAACAATCGCTTTTATTAATCTTGAACAATCTAATAAAAATAGATTATTTTGCAGTTCCCATACATCAAGCGATGTTTCATTTAACAAATATAATTTACTTCTATACGTTGCGATTGATATATAATTATTACAGTGATTAAATATTGTAATATTTGGTAATATTTCTATTTTATTACTTGATGGATAATGCACAAATACAGATTTTCGACATAAAATAAAAAAACATTCCATTGCCGATGACCATATTAGATCAGATAATTCACCATATTGTTCAATTGAGTGTAAATGTGTTTCATCATGTTTTGTACCATCAACATGATAGATAACAATACGATTTTTCCAGCCAAGAAGTATTTGTTTATTATTAGCTGCCATATAGCCATAGGTTGAATCAAGTTTTATATCATATAAATAATTCCATTGTATAGATTTTTCTTTAAATAAAAAAAAAGACGAAACTATTATCGACTGTTTTACATAGAAAAAAAGAGAAAATTTTAATACCTGTAGTGTTGATTGATTTATGACATTTTTCGGGTATATAATTTAATTCTTTGACAGCTATTTGATGTAATACTTTATTAACATTTTGAATATCTTTATCTAATTGTTCTATTTGTTCTGATAACTCCTTCAAATCACCTTCAATAATTGCATTTAAAACTCGTTTATCACTAAGATCTTTTCCAAGATTTGTATGTCGTTGTTTTAATTCATTTTTATATACATTAAATATAGAAAGAATTTTTTCTTTAACATCTTTTGTATGCTGTTGAATTAATTGAATTATTTCACTTTCCCATTTATCAATATATTCTAAGTGTTGCCTAATATTTACTTCGGTCAATGAATGTTCATTTATATCTGTATGTTGTTTAATCAATCGATCGAATTGATCTGATAATTGTTGACGATGTTCCATCAAATGAGCAAAACAAAATAAATCTTTACATCCAATACAATTTGCTACACAAAATCTATCTTTTGTTTCAACAGGACATAATTTACAAAACAGCAATTGATCGGAATTACGTTCAACCATTGGTCTGCAAGAAACATTAGAAATTAAAACCACAAAAAAAAATAAGTTTCTCTATTATTTTCTTTTTTTGGATGATATGAAAAGATAATATTGAGACAGTGCATATGCTTATTAAGAAGAAGAAAAAAATAAACCAAACAACAATCAAATAATAGTAATCGACTAGTTCAAGGAATGCTTGTTACTCTGGTCCACATGGTATCGAGAATTACATGTATGTCTCACGCTCATACGAATAATCATAATAATAAAATTTGTAGGAAAAACATATGAAAAGACGAAAAAAAAAATAGAATAACTCAAATAAATAGATAAATAAACGAAACCTATCAATATGGAAATGAATAGTTTTGTTTGTGTTTATACATTATGAATGTTATTTATCAATCACTAAATGCATCACTTTTATTTTCCGATGACACAACTTCGGTGGCCGGTGAATTATCTGTTGCATTTGTTCCTGATCCATTTTCTTCTGATTGATTTGCAGCATTTGGTCGTTCAAAATGAGCATATTGCTTAGTTGACTGTTTTGTTTTATCTTTATCTTTATCTTGTTTTCTCCACAGAGTAATTTCCTTGGCAAAGAAAAAAAGTAAAACTCAAACCAATTGCTTTATTTCTATGAAAAAACAGCTACTGACTTGTTGTTTAAAATAACGTCGTTCTTCTTCATCAATTAGAACAAGATTAAGAAAATATCGAACAGAAAATTTTCTTTGAATATCTTTCATTGTTGGTGTTAAATCATAGCCAGCCAAAAATAAGCGAATCGGAATGCTTTCACCTAGACGAAAAGAATTTAGTAGAAAAAAGACATACGTTTTGTTTTTTTCTATTTATTATACCTCGAACAGGTGCACCGTCCATGATTTCATATTTCGCAATAGTTTCATTTTCAGCATAAATATTTGGCCCAGTACCTGAACTTTCCTTTTTAATAATAGCTATTTCCATATGTTTGATTTTAATGCGAACAAGTAAAAAATATATCTTTCCAACAATAACATCTTTTAAATGATATTTTGACTTATTGTATTCGAATTCAATATGTAAACAATCTTCAATGCCAACCTCCATCTTAATACTATTATTTATTTCAGGATATTGTGATAGCTGTTGAACACATATATCACGTTCGAAGACATTATTAGAAAAACGTTTTATGATTGTTAAACGAAGAAAGTATCTAAAACCGTTTATGATTATTTGTTTTTCCTTTTTTTCAAAATAAATAAATTACCTTAGTTTAATATTGATACCCATGTAAGATTCATAGGGTTTTTCAACATTTAAAAAATCAAAATCCATTGATACATTTTCAGTTAATTCGCCAGGAAATGCAAGTAATTTCGTTAGATTTGTAAACTCATGGATAGTACTACGATCACTGAGCATTTCTGTAAAATTAAAATTAATCAAAAATAGTTCTTATAAAAGAAAGCCTATAAACCGATTAACCGTATTGAGAGCAACGACTCAACAGTGTTGCGAAAAAAGCGACTATCAAGTTTTTCAATTTCTAGAATCGTAAATCATAATTCTGTATGATTATTCAGGACGATAGAGAATATCATTCTTTAAAAACAAAATGAAACGTGTTTGTGACTGTTTTCTATTTAGATTCATGAATCGCATCACAGGCAAAACAATTCGTTCTGTCATTTTTCAAAATTCCCAATATGCATTTCGAACGATTAATGGATTTGATTTAAAATAGAGTACGCACGACCTGTACTGAAGAGAGTGTATTTGCAAAATTTTATCTAGTTGAAAGAAAACAAACATAGGAAATAGTGAAATCGTTCTTATCTTCTGGATATTCAACTCGAATATTTTAATGAGTGCCGTGTACATAATAAGATGTAAGCCATTTTTTGAACAACAGAAAGGACTATTCCACTTCAATACATCATTTTCCTCCAACAAACTCTTCAGGTGAAAATAACAAAATTTATTTTCATTAGGTTGGAATGTGAGTTTTTGAGAAATCAGTTCTTAGAGATAAATTATGTACCGTAGTCTCCATAATAGAATTGGGTTTATTTTTTTAATCCAATATTTATTTGTGTAGATTTCTCAATGTTCTTCTAAAACTAACAGACTACATTGAATGAGATGACCCTTATAATTCAGATTTGTACATAACATACAGTTCTAAGAATAAAAATGTACTTTTAAATTAACTTGGGTATTCAGAAACAGATAGTTTCTAGAGAATTAAAATGGCAAAGTATAATAATCGATAAAACAGATGAAAAAATAATCAGACTATTGAAATATATTAAAAAGAAGCGCTCCCTTGATATTTGAAACCCTGTCATATATAATTGACTTTTAAAATAAAATTCCACTATTTTTTATGAATATTTAATTTTATCATAGACATTCTAAACTTTCGATTGTAACTATACTAACCGATTTGTCCAACGAATTCCAATCGAATTCCTTGATGTTCTACTTTACTATTTTTCTTTAATTTTATTTGTACCTAAATATATTTCCAATAACAATCATGCAGTTTACTAAACATATGTTTTTATTTTTACCGTGCCAGCAACATCTTCTCCATTGTAGTAAACGTATTGTGACGATCGTTTAGTTTCATCAATTTTGACGTCAACTTGTTTTCGTTGACCTTTTGGATCAAGAATAAAATCTGCGTCAACTTTTGATCCTAAACCTAATATGTCCATTATGTAACTATCTATAATTGAGTAAATATTCGTTAAATCTATTAATCTGTAAAAAAAACTCATTCTAGTATTAAACGAAAAACACAATGAACTCAAATAAGTATATCTTCTCGTATTGAATGAAAACTATTTCTATCGTCTCAAGAATTATTCCTAGTCCATAAGATATTCTAAGGTTAGAATTTATTGGAATCTGAATTATCCTGTAAATCCTTCTATTAAGATTGATTTTTATTTGATTATCAGTTCGGAATATATGAGGTTTGCGATTTAATATATATCATAAATTAATATTTCCCAGAAAATCTTGATAATCATCTTATTAATGACTCAAAACTTTAAAATGAAGACCATCGTTCAGTACAGAATCTATACAATGAAGTCGAATCGAGATTCGAACAAACATAGTGCGATTGAAATCTTAAACAGGTGACAATCATTTATTAATAAAAAAGAAGACAAACTTCGACCCATTGATATTTGATTAATAAATCAATTATTTCTAGATGGTTCTTATGATCATTTCTTTTATATTATTTTTTCGAAAACTATTCAGTTTTCATTAACTTGTTTAATTACGAATAATTCACGTGCCGACTTTTTTTCTCAAATTTTCAGTAAAACCATGTTGAATGAATAGAAGACAACATTTTCATTTTTTCATTCTGACCAACAACTAAACAAATTCTATCGAAACAAAAAAATAAATAAACATGCCTGAAAAAACCCTATGAACTAGTATTGAAAAAACGAATGAATTATTATCTTTTAACTCATCTGTGTCGAGTCCAAAGCTTTGATTGGTCTATCTAAAATCCAATGAAAATGTGGTAAAAAATAAATTTTTTTTTTCTCACGAAATAACGAGAAATGTTTATTATATTCGTCAATCACGATATTTTATGATAAAATATGAAAAAAATCAGAGTATGTAAAGGTTATCAAAAACTAAACCTTATTCAACCATTTATTTCTTGTTACCAAGGAAAATCATCCATTTTATTACTATTATGTAGGCAGTAAAAAAGAAGGTTTTTTTTTCTTTCTTTTCTTCAGGACTGGTAGATTTTAAGAGTAGCAACGGTAAAAAAAAGGCCGATGACAACGATACAATAGCCAACAAATCGAATGATATATATTTGAACGTAGCATAGAACATTGTAAGCCGTCATCATGAATAACAACCAAATACGTCCGCAGCTTTCACCTCAAGATGCTGCAGCCATGCTTGCTCAATTACAACAACAAAATCCGCAGATGTATGCTCGTCTTCAAGCTATGCGACCTGAACTAATGGAAACAGGCAATGAACATCTTTTGAATAACGCTTTGGCTGCTGGTGCAAGCGGACATGGGCATGGGCATGGCCATTCTCATACTCATTCGTCATCGTGTTCACATTCTCAGTCACAGATGCATTTTTCTCAACCTGTTCCTGAACCACCTCCAAAACCAGATTCTACACAAATGAGTGCTGTTCAAGCTGTACAATATAATGAAATAGAAAGAGTTAAGCAATTAATTGAATCTGGTCAAGTAGATGCCAATACGCCGGATCAAGAAGGATGTTATTTATTACATTGGGCAGCAATTAATAATCATATAGAATTAATTCGATATTTAATTGCAAAAGGTGCAACAGTAGATCTGATTGGTGGTGACCTTAGATCAACACCATTACATTGGGCATGTATGTTGAATTTTCTTTCTTCATAGAATTGACGTTGTCAAGAGATATAGCTTACACATTTTTCATTAAACAACTTTATGAGAGACTGAATAATAAATTTATAAATTGAAGAAAAGTATTCACCGCTTACTGATACGTCTTTCATGTTTATTTTCAACTGGAAGCGATTCGTGCCCTTGGCGAACTCAATGGACAAGGTCACATTCTAAGTGACTCCGTTTTTATTTAAAAAATGAGTAGGATGCCTAGAAGTACATTGCAATCTTATTGCAGATATTTCCAATTAGTTCACTTGTAATTATGAGTCGTATAAATTTAGCTTCTACGTAACATGACATAAACGTTATAAATGAATCATCACAACATTGATTAATACTTAAGCAACCTCCCCTCTACATAACCCCTTCTGTCAGACTCAAATGTCATGAAAGACGTCGTTGATACACGATCAGATGTACTTCATTGACAGACGCTTATTATAATGCACTAGGCCGTCCATTATTATATCGCTCATGCAGCAGAATATCAAATAAATGTGCCTCAAAATAGATCGAAAATAGCAACACTCCGATAATAAACAACAGAAACTATATCATATTTCACATATTAATCCTACATACTGATTGCTAACATATTTGTTAACATAAGATACTGTTAAATATATAGATTCTTAAAAAAACTTGATAAACTTCAATAGAAATCGAAAAGTAGTGCTTCATAAAAATCTTTTTAATTAAGCAACGAGTACAATCTAACCAGTTTTTTTATATACATGACGACACATCTTTCTAAAATTAACATATTTGTTCTGGACGAGTTTTTTCTCTCATTTTCATTATTTAAAAAAAAAATAAGCATCACATATTTATTCTACTATGATATTTATTTATATAGGTCGACAAGGTTGTGCAGAAGCATTCTTTCTGCTTGTTGATAATGGAGCATCAATTAAATCAGTTGATGTAAATGGTCTTCAACCAATTCATATTGCAGCTCAATATGGTCAAATCAAAATTCTTGCTTATATACTTGGGTCTGGTGTCGATGTTGATTGTGTCGATGAACGAGGTTTTACACCATTAATGTATTCGTGTATTGGCCCATCGGCGAGTTATGTTCCACTTCCAAATTCATCACATACTTGTTGTACACAATTTCTTTTAACATTCGGTGCAGATGTTAATCGTCAGGAACCAACACGGCATTACAGTGCATTGCATTTTTCAATAAATAATCAAAATCCAATAAGTTTTCACGCTCTATTAAAACATCCACAAACAAATATTCATCTAAAAAATGGTGATAATTTTGATCCATTAATATTTGCGCGTATGAGACAAAATTGGGATGCTGTTGCACAACTTGAACGACGCATACAATCAACGAAAGCACATGTAAAACCAGTATTTTTACAACGATATCTTGCCAATGCAGGCATTCGAAAATGGTTGACAAGATTTTTCATGCTGTTTGCTATGACATTAATTGGTTTATCAGCCAATTCATATGAGCATAGCTATTGGCTACGTATTTTATTTCCAATTGTGGCCATTTTTCTTTGTAGCCATTTGCTTAGTTATTATGTATTTGATTCAAAGTCAGTAGATCATTTTGCATTTGCATATCTCATATCATCAACACTATTGATGTATGCTACTTATTGGATTTATCTGCAAGAACCAAAATTCACAATATTGGATATGATTTATCATTTCTCAACCGTATATGGTCTTTATTGCGTACGTTGTATTAAAACATTGAGTCCAGGATTCATAAAACAACAAAACATGACATTGGAAGGAAATAGTTTAACAAAAGAAAAAATTTGTATTGCATTTGCACGTGATCCACGATGGACTTTAGATCACTTTTGTGTTACTTGCCTTATACGTCGACCATTACGATCAAAACATTGTCCTGCTGATGGATCATGTGTAACAAAATTTGATCATCATTGTACATGGTAAGTTCAAAATGATCATAATGATTGATTTCAATACCATGTAAATCTTTGGAAAAAGTTAGCAAGAAACGACTATGCCCTTAAAGTCAACAAATGAGTGCGATCTTGAACAAATTTGAAATTCTGTGCTAGTCTAGGTTATTTCTTTTTCTTTTAAAAAGTTTTTAATATAGCGTTTTCTCTTGAGGTTCAAAGGCTAGCAGGCACTTCGAAGAGTTCATCTCTATGACCAATTCTTTTCTCCAGTTATTACACTTTTTGAACTTCTGCAAAAGTAGCATTGATGTCAGCATTGAATCACAAAATTTTTACATAACACTTTGCCTATAACCAGGTCTTTTGCAGATTGTGTAATTCTCTAAAGATTTTAGTTTTCGAAAATGCGTGTTTCTCGATCCCGAGATGCTGAATATATAAAAAGCAACGATAAATCACAAGAAAATCCCGTGTGGTTCACATCCGATATAATACGAAACAGACATACTTTTAAGTTAAATTCTTTGAAGTCTTTAAATGTACCCAAGGCTTATCGATGGAAAAAATAGTTGCTCTATTAGCAACTCATATTTAATGTCTGCTTCTTGTTAATACGTTTAGGAAACATTGATAAACTAATTTTCACTTTGTACGAAATTTACTCTATTGCTTGTCAATAAACTTGGTCATCGGCAATGTTATCGTTTTATGAGAAATTTCAAACCTTTCTGACGTAATACGTACAACCAGATAAAAACTCACCGTTCTCTTCTCTGAGTTACAAAATGTAAATCATGAAGTATATTATCTGATGAAATAGATAACGACTAAGCAAATGTTTATTTGATTTAGTTCTTAAGAGAGATTGTGTTTATTAAAATAATTTCATTAACTACGATGAGATATATTTATAAACTGATCAACTCACCAGTTTGCTCATAATTGCGCAGTAATGCTTAGCGTGTCTTTTTCATGGGACAATTAAATGTAATTTCGAAACCTCCCACGTAATCATCTAAAGCTCTATATTCTTTCGTTCTTCTGCATGAATAGTCATCGATTCAAAATTATATGTGTTTTTTTATGTGGTCAAAAAACGATCTAAATCAATACCTTGAAGTAGTGAATGATTACATGAAGAAACTTCTTTCTTTGCTTGTTTGAGTGAATCACTATAACTGACAGTAAAACTAATCTATGATTTTACTCTGTTCTTTCTTATCCTAATATTTACTTACGTAAGTCATTATTGAAACTTCATTTTATTTGTTTTAATAGCAGTATTGCCTTTGAAACAAAAAGTATCTTGAACATGACTTTGATTTTCTTCGAACGCGTGCAGGTCTCAATCTGTTAAAATTGAAATCGAAGTTTTAAAAAATAAAATAGCAGATAAATCACATTTTAAATTGATCTACGTTTCCTAATTAACGAAAAAGAAAAATATGTACGAGATCATGTACAAATGAATATTATTTCATGTGAGAACTTCCTCCGATGGCTCCTTCTGATTGCAATAGTTTTATCGCTTATACCCAGTGAAATATTAGTCTTATAGAAATTTAAAAAAATAAGATTTGCATTCTATGTGAATGAGCTACGAACTCTAGGATATTTCTTAAACTCTCTATGTAGATCAAACTTTACTCTGGAAAAGTCTTATTTGCTAATTTCGTTTGAGAAATTCGTGCTTATACGGGCATTAACTAAACTGTTTTGCATAGACAAGCTCCGAAATTTTAATACAGCACTTTTTAAAATATGATCTTTTCGAACAACTCGATGCTGTATAGTGCCATTCATGCGCAAAGGGGCTTGTATCTTGAAACATTCATATCTTTCTAAATGAGAATACAATTTCTTCAAAAGTTTAAAAAAATCCCACACTAAGTGTTTCAGTAATATTTGAGATTCAATAGATGGGTCCAATATGAATCGGAAATGTAGTTGTTCTGGAGTTTCTATTAGAACATTATCTAGCATCTATAAAAAAAAAAGAACAGAAACAATTGACTTCAGAAGGAAGCAACCGAGAAGATCGTCTGATCTGAATCTCCTCACTATTTCTCATTAAAAACAAAAGTTAAATGGCGTTTATTTCTTCAGGCTTAATGCATGCATTGGAGGTCGAAATTATTTTTATTTTTTACGTGTATTAACTCTTGGTACAATAGCACTAATGATATGGATGTACACAGCGTTGCATCTTATTTTTGGTGATTTAGAACAATATTCAATAAAATATTTATTGACACAAGTCTATGATCCTTGGTTTATTTATATGTTAATATTAACAACATTCAATGCAGTATGGGTTGCACTAATGACATCATTCCATTTGATAAATGCAGTATTTTTAGGTGTAACACTTAATGAGCGTCTAACAGGTTTTCGTTATAGTTATTTTCGTGATGAAAATACAGGAAAGCATACGAATCCTTTTGGAAGGCAAAAATTCAAAAATTTTCTTGAAGCATTTGGTTTATTTCGCTTAATGTCAATGTGTCGCTATACTCGTATTGATTGGTCTCAAGTCTATGATATTAACCAAATCAATGAGGCAAAAATTAATTAATTTTTGGATTTTGTGCTTTTATGATCGTTTTTTTCATATTATTTGTTTGTTTTTTGTTTCTTTGAAATAAATTATCACTTTTTAATGAGTTCCAATAAATAATACAGTGACTTACTTATTTTTCAATGTTGTTAGTGATGTTTCGATCAGAGCTAAGTAGAAAATCAAATCATATTTGATATAGAGAATTTTATTGTCAATAAGAATTATTGATGAAAAAATTTATTTTCAATTTTTCTAGAAAAAACTATACGTAACATGAAAATAGAAACTTTTCAACTTTCATTGTTTGTCATTGTGATTCTGATTGAATTAGTCACAATTGTAGAATACCAAATACTTTACCATATCAAACATACTTCAACTCGCTATGGTATCTCTAGCTTTCATGGCAAGTACAATAATAATGTTTTAATAAGAAGTTACCCATGTAGCCGGTAGTTGCATTATCATGTAATTGTAGCCATTATAATGCGTTATAATCGAAAAAATGCCATTATAATGCATTATAATAGCAAATAATGGCTATAATTACATGATAATGCAACGACCGGCATCATGGGTTATGACTTTCATGTCCTGTCTCGCTGCTACTTTAAAGATTGATGTGTCTTGTTCGAAAAATTTCGTCAAGATATTGGAAGATGTTTTATTTTTTTTTAAATATCTATTTTTATCATCATTCCACATAATAAATCATAACCATAATTGTAAAATTTACGTATTTAAAAAACGTGTCTTTTCAATTTGGCAAAGACTCTATCCTCTGACAAGCAACATTTATTGTTATCGTCGAAAAACCTGTTTTTCGAAATAAAATTCACTACACGGCATAAGTCTTGGTTTCTTTCTTAGAACTTACGATGATTGAAAAATTCTGAAAATAAACCGAGTCGAACAGTCATAGGATTTCGTGTGGACTGGCCTATCAACAACAAGAAAACAAGAGTTGAACTGAAAACATTATGTAATCTCTTGAGAGTCTCTTTCCGAAAAATCAATCAAACGAATGGATGAGAAAATGAATCATAATCAAATTGAGACAAATCAACAGTTAGAAAATAAACTAACGACGTTTCTCGATGACATCGAATTTTAGAAGGAAAACATCGGAAGTATGAGTCTTTCTTGATATAAACCAAATGAACGATTGAGATATCTACTTGGATCATCAAACGATGAATTTCCGAAAAAACAGGAAAACAATGTCTGTAACACTTCTTAATGTGTATTTCAAATATTTGAAACTGTAAGCTTTTCTAGTGATTTTATGTTTTCAAAAAAAAAAAAAAAAGAAGTATGATATTTAATAGAACAACTGATTATTGAAATGTTAATTACTATAAACCGGATGTTGAATGCTTGATTAGATTGGCACAAGTTGAATGCGATGACTCGGCTACAGTCCATATTATATATTTAATAAATAAAAGAAACTCACTTAGTCTACTGACGTCAATGCAATGAAAAGCGTTATTCAATTGAAAAGATTATTTGATTTGTATAGAGTATCCAATCGACATCATGCGTGGATGAGTTAATAATTTGAAAGCTCAAAATCTTAATCCGGTAGTGACGTAAAATAACGCTCGAAATGAATTCCTGTTTAGCTTTCCTAGAAAAAGATCTTTATTTGAAAGGCAAAAAACACTTACAGTTCAATATTTATATTACATATTAAAGCAGATTTCTCAAAAAGCATGCGAATACGATTGATAATTTAGTTTGAGAGTTTATTAAGTTTTACCGAACTTATTAAGATGCCGCAAAGCGATATTTTTAACAAAAACAAAAAATCGATTTGACGTTCTTTGAATAATAAAAACAAAATAACACCCGTTTGACTTGGATAAAAACTTGGCCAAAATTGAATTCTTCCCTCATATATTTGAAATTATAAAAGAATACATAATATTCTGTAAAGAAATATTATCCTTTCATATATTGTTTTAGAAAAAGAACGCACAGAAATCGACTGTTACAGAATAAATGCTTGCAGCCATTGTACAAAAATAGATGCATACAGAAAAGGAAATAAAACTGGATATACATAGGGAAAATAGAATTGCTTTCTCTCTCTGTTTTTCTACATAATCATACATTTTCGAGTTGGAACTCGATTTGAGGGTGTATCAGGAGTCGAAGTATTTTTTGAATTTCCGATTAAATCTGTTTGACCATTTAAACTTCTTGAAGTAGTTTTGATTTTTGTTGTTGATGAATTTGATAATCGATTTGTTTTATTTCCATGTAGAACAGGTGTTTCAGGTCGAGTTGTAACAACACCTGTCACTGTTGTTGTTTCAGTTATATTTGGATTACTCCCACTATTTGTGGTTGTTGATGAACAGGAATTTGCTGCTGCTATTCGTTTTCTATTATGATTTGATGGTGATGATGGTGTTGGTGTACTATTATTTTCTTCGATTAAATGTCCATCTTGATCAACATTAAAATTAAATTGTCGTTTTTTATCCAATTTAAGAAGTTCTTGAAATGCTTCACGTATATTTGTATTTGTTTTTGCCGATGTTTCAATCCATGCACAGGACCAAAACGATGCTAATTGTTTACCAAGATTTTCTGTTACCTCACGACATGCAGCTTCATCTAATTTACAACCCATTAACAATATTGGTGTATCATATTGTTGATCAGCTTTTATTTCACGTATTTGATTATATATAGGTTTTAATTCTTCAAGTGTTTGTTTACTTGTTATAGAATAGAGTAACATAAATGCGTGACCCTTTTGTATACTTAATCTTTGCATTGCTGGAAATTGGTGTGTACCAGTACTAAATAAAATAATTTATTTCAAATAAAAATATTGTTATTGACTTATCGTACGTATCAAATATTTGTAAAGTAGTTATTTGTTTATTACAAGATACGACTTGTCGATATGTATCTTCAACTGTTGGAATATAGTTTTCACGGAATTGTCCGTTGACAAAACGAAGAACACAATTTGTTTTACCTTAAAAAACATTGTGCACGATTATGTTTGAATTTTATTTTTAATTGATCTCAATCATATTTACCAACGCCAGCACTACCAAAAACGACAATTCGATAGTCTGTGCTTTGATCGGGCATAGCCCGAAAGGGTGTAACTGGATCTTTATTTGGCTATAATAAATAAATAAGAAAGTATTAAAACTCAAAACTATATCTAATGAACTAGAAACATCGATAAATACCAGATGATAGTTTGCAATACATCTCACAGCTGTGAAGTGTTTCTCATAAAGAACAAGTTAGTATGGCAAATTTATGAACGATAGAGTACAAGAGAAAAAAGCAAGCATATTTAATGCTCTTTAACTTAGTCGATTTTCTATTTCTTCTCGTTCATCTGCATCTTGTCCTACATACTTTCTACGCCTCATCAACAGAAGTAAGTCCGTCATTTTTGTCGTCGTTGTTCTCTGGAGAACATGACAAACGCATGCTCATTCTCCCTTTGATTCAAATAACATGCAATTCGAAAATGCACTACGATTCACAATGTTAATTATTCTTTGACATTTCTTTTTGTTCATCTAAATACGTCATTTGCAGCTATCTGCGTTTTTCAGGTGAACTAGTTAATTGTGTATTATATTTATATTTATTGATAATAGTCAATATAACTAGTCAATACATATAGCTATCGAAAACAAGCAGCACGCAAATGGAAATATAAATAAACTGATACGTAAGATTAAATCGTTCACGATATCAAGTTTTCCATCTGTGTTAAAACAAACTTTCTACGAAGTGAGATAAAACAGAATGATAAACTTTTATCTATATACAAAAGGAAAATCTCTCGAGTCATATTAGTCGTTGTTAGTTTTCTTTCTCTCTTAATAGAACGTATGAATAATAATTAAATGTAAGACTATAGAAGAAAAAAAGAAATCATACAACAACGATCACTTATCACATGGTAAATGCATTATAAACAATGAAAAAAACATTTTTTTGGTATAATATTCAACATAAAATATTCTACCCTTAAAATCTTTCATCTTACCTTATCAAGTGCCATTGTGCTTCGGTTCGACAAGCAAATAAAATAATGAAAACCGTCTCAATTCTGCTTGTTTATATTGAATAAAAATAGAGAGCACACGCAAACGCATGCTCACACGCACATCATGGTGCAATAGAGAGTTTCGAATTCTTCCATCATCTCTTGTTGTTACTTGCCTTGTCTCTATGTACTCTATCTTTTTCTTTAGTTGAATAATAAGCACCCAGTAGACAAAGAAAAGCAAAAGAAGAAAATCGGAAATATTATAACGACAAAGGAAGAAAAACAGAATGCACTATACTTTTTTTCCGACCGAAATATGACTATGAGAATAAGAAAAAGAGGGAGAAGTAGTCAGAACGTTTTGTTTAAAAGACTGCGCTCTATCTAGAAGGAAAAAAGTGAATGACACAGTATTTTTAGGAACGATTTAGGCAATAATAATAAATGAAGGTTAGAAGTTTTATCGGCTCGACAATGCAATCATGCTATCGTCAAAAAGAATCCGCATCTAATTTTTCTCTTTCTTTCTTTCCTTTTTTATTTTTGTTTTTTGAAGAAAACTGACATTTCAATTTCTTTTCCTTTATTTGGTTCTATTTGTACTAATTGATAAAATAATGACGGTAGTAACGATAATACTTCTACTATTTTCAATGCATGCATAAATTCAGTCAACGTCAATCAATAAGAAGCCGTTTTGTATCGGCATATCGATGACATAGTTTTCCTTTTTTTCTAGTTCTTGCTTCCTACCCCCCCCCTCCTCTCTCTCTCTCTCTTTTCCATTTTTCTTTAGTCAATATTCACTCACAATTGAATTCACTCTTATACACTCACTGGAGTAATCGGGTTTGCGCGTTTGTAAAAAATATATAATGGAAATAAAGGCGAAGCTATGCACTATTCTATTTGGAAAAATATAAGAGTGTTGATGGCAAGTGAATGATGATGAATCGATAATGGAAATGCACAATGT